ACCATAAGTACAACAGCAAGAAATGATCTTGGATTGAATATAGAGATAATATATGACAGAGAGAAGATGATGCTGGTGGAAGTAGACTATAGGCCCCCTAACAGTTGCTACACTGTAGAACAGAATAAATGAGGAGATAACGAGGATGTGTGAAAAAGCCAGTACATTAATTATAGGTAACTTTAATCTTCATGTCAGTTGGGAAAATCAAATTGGCAGAGGTAGCTATGAGAAAGAACTGATAGTTTCTTCCAGCAATGTGATGTAGACCCAACCAATGATCAGGCTGTTTGGGTCTGATAATGTGCAATGAGATGGCTTTCATAACTGCTCTCAGAGTAAAAGATCCCTGGGAAACAGTGACTATAACATGGGAGGAGTTGGCATTCAATTTGAGGATGAGTAACTAAGGTTGGAAACAACAGTGTGAAACTTAAATAAAGGTAATTACAAAGGAGCGACAGCAGCATTGGCTGGAATAGACAGGGAAGGAGTTTAGCAGAAAATGCACTTGATAAAGAATTACAGGTGTTTAAGAAAATAGTTCACAATTCAAAATGGACATATATCCCAGTGAAGAAAAAGGACTCTCAGAAAGGGAGAGACCAATTATAGTTAACCAAGAAAGTTTAAAGTAGCATCAACTTGAAAGAAAAAGAAAATATAAAACGGTGAGGTTTAGTTGTAACAAGGTGTAGAGCTGGATGAACACAGCAGGCCAAGCAGCATCAGAGGAACAGAAAGGCTGATGTTTCGGGCCTAGACCCTTCTTCAGAAATGGGGGAGGGGAAGGAGGTTCTGAAATAAATAGGGAGAGAGGGGAAGGCAGATAGAAGATGGATAGAGGAGAAGATAGGTGGAGAGGAGACAGACAGGTCAAAGAGGCGGGGATGGAGCCAGTAAAGATGAGTGTAGGTGGGGAGTTAGGGAGGAGATAGGTCAGTCCAGGGAGGACGGACAGGTCAAGGGGGCAGGATGAGGTTAGTTGGTAGGAGATGGGGGTGGGGCTTGAGGTGGGAGGAGGGGATAGGTGGGAGGAAGGACAGGTTAGGGAGGCGGGGATGAGCTGGGCTGGTTTTGGGATGCGGTAGGGGGAGGGGAGATTTTGAAGCTTGTGAAGTCCACATTGATACCATTGGGCTGCAGGGTTCCCAAGCGGAATATAAGTTGCTGTTCCTGCAACCTTCGGGTGGCATCGTTGTGGCACTGCAGGAGGCCCAGGATGGACATGTCATCTGAGGAATGGGAGTTGAAATGATTCGCGACTGGGAGGTGCAGTTGTTTAGTGCGAACCGAGCGTAGGTGTTCTGCAAAGTGGTCCCCAAGCCTCCGCTTGGTTTCCCCGATGTAGAGGAGGCCACAACAGGAACAGCGGATGCAGTATACCACATCAGCAGATGTGCAGGTGAACATCTGCTTGATGTGGAAAGTCTTCTTGGGGCCTGGGATGGGGGTGAGGGAGGAGGTGTGGGGGCAGGTGTAGCACTTCCTGCGGTTGCAGGGAAAAGTGCCGGGTGTGGTGGGGCTGGAGGGGAGTGTGGGAGTCACGGAGAGAGTGGTCCCTCCGGAAAGCAGATAAAGGTGGGGAGGGAAAAATGTCTTTGGTGGTGGGGTCGGATTGCAGATGGCAGAAGTGTCGGAGGATGATGCGTTGGAGCCGGAGGTGGTGGGGTGGTATGTGAGGACGAGGGGGATTCTGTTTTGGTTGTTATTGCGGGGAGGGTTTGTGAGGGATGAGTTGCGGGAAATGCGGGAGACACGGTCAAGGGCGTTCTCGACCACTGAGGAGGGGATGTTGCGGTCCTTGAAAAACGAGGACATCTGAGGTGTGCGGGAGTGGAATGCCTCATCCTGGGAGCAGATGCGGCGGAGGCGAAGGAATTGGGAATGGGGATGGCATTTTTACAGGAAGGTGGATGGGAGGAGGTGTATTCTAGGTAGCTGTGGGAGTCGGTGGGCTTGAAATGGATATCGGTAAATATCCATTTCAAGCTAACAAGTTCATTTGCTTCCACATGTGAATAAATCATGTCTCTCAATATCTTCTCCCATTGCTTCCCACCGCTGATGTCAGGCCCACCGGCCTATAATTAACTGGATTATCTCTGTTTCTCTTCTTAAACAAAGGAACAACATCGGCCATTCTCCAGTCCTCTGGAACTATGCCTGAGGCCAAAGAGGATGCAAAGATATCTGTTAAGGCCCCAGCTATTTCCTCCTTTGCCATCTGCAGTATCCTGAAATAGATCCCGCCTGGCCCTGGGGACAGGTCTACCTTGATGTATTTCAAAACATTCAATACTTCCTCCTTCGTTATGTTGACTTGCCCGAAAGTATTCACACACCTTTCCCTAACCTCAACACCCCTCACGTCCCTTTCTTTTGTTGCCTACTCATTAATGATCTCACCCACTTCCTGTCACTCCACACATAACCTCTGTCTGTTATCTTTGAATGGGCCTACTTTTTCCCTAGCTACTCTTTTGCTCCTAATATATTTATAAAATAACTTGGGATTATCCTTAACCCTGTGGGCCAAGGACATTTCATAGCCCCTTTAACCCTCCTAGCTTCCTGTTTGAGCTCCTTCCTACTTTCTCTATATTCTTCAAGAACTTTGTTTTTAGTTGCCTAGACCTTAGGTATGCTTCTTTTTTTTTAACTAAACTAATAATTTGCCCTGTCATTCAAGGTTTCCAAATCCTGCCAATCTTGTCCTTCATTTTCACAGGAACATGCCTGTCTTGCACTCTAACCAACTGGTCCTTAAAAGACTCCCACATCAGATGTGAATTTACCTTCAAACAGCTGCTCCCAAGCCACATTGTTCAATTCATGCCTAATTCAGTTATAGTTGGCCTTCCCACAATTTAACACCTTTATCTCAGGTCCGTTCTTGTCTTCATCTGTAAGTATCCAATAACTTATGGAATTATGGTCACTATTCCCAAAATGCTCCCCCACTGAAACTGATTACCTGTCAGGGCTCATTTCCCAGTACCAGGTCCAGTGTGGCCCCCTCCATCATTGGACTATCCACATACTGTTTCAAAAAAACCCCAGGACACACTAACAAATTGCTCCCTATCCAAACTGCTGGCACTATAAGTGAGTCCCAGTCAATATGGAGAAAGTTAAAATCACCCACCACAACAACCCTGTTATTTTCACATCTTTCCAGAATCTGACTACATATCTCTCCCTCTGTCTCCTGCTGGCAGCTGGGAGGTGTGCAATACAATCCCAACATTGTGATTGCACCCTTCCTATTCCGGGGCTTTACTCATAATGCCTTGCTGCAAGATCCCCCCCAGGGTGTACTCCCTCAACACTGCTGTGATATGCTCCCTAACCAGTAATGCAACTCTCCCACCTTTTTTGCTTCCTCCTTTGTCTAGTCTAAAACATCGATATCCATGAACGTTAAGCTGCCAATCCTGTTCCTCTTTCAACCATGTCTCAGTGATAGCAGCGTTATAATTGCGTGCATTAATCCGGGCTCTAAGTTCATCCATCTTATCTGTTATACTTCTTGCATTGAAGCAAATGCAGTCCAAGCCTCTAGCTCCACTGAGCTCAGCAACGTCTCCCTGACTGCTCTTCCTTTGAGCTATATTTGCCTTAGACTCAAGCTCTTCCCCAGTCTCTTTACATATTGACCTGAAGAGATATCAAAATGGACTTCAAGAGCTTTTTAAATACGTAGCAAGGAAGAATAACCCTATAGTGACGATAAGCTACTTAGAAAATGAGGATCAGAAAATAATAGCTTGGATCTAAGAAAAAGCAGAGGAATTGATCAAATACTTGCATCAATTTTCATGGTTGAAAAAACTAATAGCATTCCAAAAATACCAAATATTTGAGGCAAAAGGGGATGAGGAAATAAATACAATACCTTCTATAAGAAATGCAAGTACTCAGGAAACTCTCAGAGGATACTGAATGCATGGAATTCTTTGCGTCAGAGCATTGTAAATATTTGTGTTGTTGAATATGTTCAAGGCTGAGATAGACAGAGTTTTAACCAGCAAGGGGAAAAGGCAGGAAAGTGGAGTTGAGGATTATCAGATTAGCCATGATCTCGTTGAAGAGCAGATTCAAAGGGCTGAATGGAATATTGCTCCAGCTAAATAGTAGTTCGACAACCGGAAATGATTTATCATTTTTCTAATTAAAACTGAACGTATTGTTTTTGTTTTTTGACCTGTTTCTCTCTTTGCAAGGTTGAGTGGAATACTTTGTGACTTGACCATTATACCTTTGTTGGCCAATACCTTCAAAAGCAAGTTAACTGGACGTTTGCCCAATTTGTTTTTGGAACCTTCCTGTGTACAAATTGGCTTCCACATTTGTTTTGTAACATCGATAACTCCACTTCTCCTTCCTAGTCTGCTTTTGGCAAACTATGATTTATAAACTGACAGTATGCATGCTGCGTTTCTAAGTGTTTCCTTTTCTAAATAAACATATATTGGCTTTGAAAAACGACATAAGTCCACTTCAAAGGATATGACACAAATAAATGTTATCCACTTTAATGCTAGGAGTATTTAATGCTTATTTTAAAAAGTCATATTTTCATTTACCAGTCTGCGCGGTGACAATTATATCTTGACACCAAGAAGAAATTTATTCAAAATAAAATTCCTGTCAGCTCTTCCACCACTGTACTCTTGCTCATCACACAGGTAGGCATTCCACTCTCAGTGCCGATACATACAACTGGCAATCTTAATGCTGTAGCAGACTGAATTTTGTACGAAAGATTTTTAAAAATGAAACTAATTGCATTTCAAGCTAATCCATTTCTAAATAATGAGATGGTCACCTTGAGGTTCAAGCACATTCAACCTTTCAGATGTGACTTGTTGTCAGTGTCATATGCAGGAAGTGGACAAAGGTGTTTTGTGAACTGCTCATTTAGAACAGGAGAGAGATTCTGTTAATGCATCCATCTACCAGAATGCTTACATCTACATTTAATTATTTTCTGTCAGAATTTTGCAGAAAACACCATGAACGAACTCCTTGGCTGGTATGGATATGATAAAGTGGAATTAAAGGAAGGGGAAGATATTGAAATTAAGAACTACCCTGTGGATGTTGAGGGCCGCCAACATGTTTCTGTTTTGAAAGGTAAAGAAAAACTCTGTCTTGCCTTGTGTGTTCTGTGTTAATTATACGTTGCATGTGTGGACTGATTACAGTCTGAAACTTTCCAGAGCTGTCCCTTCTGAGGCATTCATTTGTTTTGTGGAGGATAGGTGGTCCCATTGGATGTATGGTCTTGTTCATCCAGAAGTTTATTTTCACTTTAGTTGTTGCATTAGTTGAACACTAGACCTGGAACTTTGGTTCTTATTCATTTGCTTGCCATGTTTTAATTACAGCCTCTTTCAGAATTATGTCAAGCTCTTTGTGTTAAAACAGCATCATAATTTATTAACTTAAGACATGTTGGATTTCTAGTTATACTGTGGGATATCACGCTTAAAACTTTAATGTAAGATTTGTGTTTCAGCAAAAATAATTGCTTAAAATAAATGGATTGGTGCCTCTAACAATATCAGAGAGGAAGTTTAGATAGAAGTGTTAAGTATTTGGAAACTAGTACCCTGCAGTAGGGTATTGCAGCAAGGCTGTTGAAAAACAATTAACTGGTGCTCATGATAATTCAGGATCATTTGTTTTTTAACTTCCATTCTAAATGTGGATCACTGATGCAGGTTGGTTAGCTCTGAGAACCATTTTAGTTTTAGGTTGAATCATGTTCCTTCAATTCAAATGTTACCCCAGGTCATAAATCAGTCCCAATTTTCGTTGTGTTGATAAAACCGCAGTTATTTTTATCAATAGGTATTTTCTACCTCTTGTAGTCTGTGAACCAATGTCTAACCTTGTTAACATATTTTTCAGTGAACAGTGATGCAGATTTCTGTGAGAAGGTTAGCCAGTATTAGGAGATAGTAGGAACTGCCGATGCTGGAGAATCTGAGATAACAAGGTGTAGAGCTGGATGAACACAGCAGGCCA